AATCAGGTCCAAATCCGTCGCAACAGCTGCCCGGCTATAACATAACCCCTTTTCCTTACCAAAGAACAGACAAGCAATTTGTTTCCACTAGTGTTTGCCTTCGAAGAATGCAGATACCAATAAAGAATTTCATTTATCATTTTAGTAAAATGGTACTCATACAAATTTCGGCCACAAAACAATGTTTATTTGATTCAAACGAAAAATTCATCAGTAAAATATTTAAATGTATTTGATTTATTTCGTTTTAGTAAAGATCTACACAAACCAAATATTTTCAAGCGTTTTAATTGTTTTTGATTAAAAATTACTCTCAGGCAGAGAGAACAAACAAAAGTGCCCGAGAAAATATCCCAAGATAGCAGAAGGGCAAGACATATTTTTATTAGCTATGGGATCAAGTTTAATTAAGTCAGTAATTGTCAATGGGACTACTGGGAAATAGGCAACGCAGCCTTTTCTTGAGAAAATAATTACTTTTCCTCCTCCAAATCATCTTTATTTGCTCAGCTGTTAATCGGCTTTGAAAATCCATTTCATAAATAATAATGAAAACGGATCGAGCTGCCATTGAGGCAGTGCATTAGCATAAAAAGTCGACTTGACGTGGCCAAAAGTGTCCCACTTCAGCCAAGGCAATCATAAAAAATGAACAATAGACAAAATGTACTTCCATAAAATATGCAACATATTCGTGTAGAGCATGTGTGGGTGGATGCCTTTTTTCCATTGATTTATAATTTATGCCCAGTAAAAGGTCGTAAAACACGGTTGCGCTTCTGCTCATTTCGGGTTTTCTTATTTCAATTACGAGACCAGGACAGAATACACATTTGTGGCATCAGGCAATGCCACACATGCAACCCCACTGCCGCACAAACATATGCACAACAATTAATTGCATTGCTTCTGGGAAAAACTAATTAATTTAACAGCCTCGGGAAAATATATATTTTATCTGGCAATTAAGCGGATTTAAGAAATACATATATTCTAGAATGCTTTAAAAGGCTTAGTTCTTTAAGGTTCTTAAAAACCATTTTGAACTATGTGCTTCTTTTGCAGACGACTTAAAAAAGAAGAGCACTGTTAAAAATATTAAAATTTTATATTATAATATTAAGCCTTATTGTCCTGAAATATATGGAAAATTAAAGCAAAAAACTGCTCAATAAAATACTCAATTTTCAGAACTGCTGCCAAAAGGCACCCCTCTGGCACTGACCTTTTTTTGGCCTTTTTTTAGTCTACTGAAGCCCTTGAAAAGGCTTTCGCTTTTCTCTGTGTAAACATAAACTGGCATTCACTTGGAGCCTGAATAGTGCGATACAGAAGCCCGCCTGTCGACTGCAGTCACTCAGGCGCTCATGTGTGACACTTTTGTGTGCAGCATTCTGGACCGACAATGAAAAAAATATAAAAAAAATAATGATAAGGATGTAAAAATATATGTGAATATATGTATGTATATTCGAATAGGCATTCGGCCAGGATTCAACTCATGCGTCGACATATTGGCATATTTTGACTGTTATCGAGCCCATTTTCTACGATATGTTGAAGAAATTATTTTCATGCTCGCCTGCCCTCCAATACGTCGGCATGCAAATGGGCTCCAAGATGATGCCCGATGCCGAAGCCGATGCCATTCCATTTGGAGTCCAGAGAAGGCCAGGGGATGGTTGGTAGTGCTTTCCAGATAAGCTTCCGCTATTGTCGGTCCTGTTGATTGACTGAACCCTTGATCCATATTCTCCTACTTTTTTTTTTATCCTCCGAATGCTGGCAAGTTGCCATTGTCCGATTACGTTCTGCCATGCTGGCATTCCTGTGCCAACTGGTGCCACACCCCTCTTGTGCCCAAAATGTGTTGGCTAAAGAGGGCCTGGTGGCCCATACCAAACATAAAACGGAGGCATCATAAAAAAATGGCGTCAATTGGCGACGCGTTAGCCTGACAAATTGCTGAGCTGTTGCGAGCTGTAAAAAGCGAAAATAATGGCTGACTTTTGAACTGGTTGCCCCCGTCCGTTTTGTCACTGGGTGAATGTCAGCCATGTTCAGGTTTGGCATCCCAGCTTGTCTGTGGCTGGCATTAAAACGTGACAAAATCTGTCATATCAGTGGACATTCTTGCTAGAACCCTTTGGGCTGCTATCAAAGAACATAAATATTGTGTCTTTAATTGGCTTGCGTACAACTTAGAGGGGAGTTATGAAAACCAAGCCAAAAGTAGATGCAAGACGAAACCACCTTACCATAATATAGTATCAAAAGGCTCATTTTAATTACTACAAATGCATTGCCTTCAAAGGCTCAAAAGTTTAACCCCCAATTCTAGAAATTGGGCCAAGTCCCCTGGGTCAAAAAGAAAATACTGGACTTGCAACACAGTAGCTGGCTGTTACTCGGTCCGTTAGAACTAAATGCAATTCAACCAATAGCTTTATACTTTTTCCTTCCGACTTTTTGTTGCTTTCATAGTGCTGGGTGTCGGAACATATTGTGTAGCAGAATGGTTGGCAGGATTTTCGAGAGGGGAAAATGCACTCATTTTCATTTTGTGACTGCTAGACTTTCTCTGCTGGGGGCAATCGTGTTGCACAGTGCTAACATGAAAAGGCTTTACAAACTGGCAACATAGTTTGCAAGGTTAACAAAACGAAACGATGTAAAGTTGTACAAATGCGCAAAAAATTGTTCTACTTTTCTTTAATTGGTTTGAATTGACAGTCCGAGCAGAACAGAGAAGGCCCAAGCGAAAAATATAAACAATTTCCATATTTAAAAAGCGGAAACGGAAAATCTACATAATATTTGACACTTGGGAACAATTGCCTGAAAACGTTTGGCGTTAATTCAGACAAATAATCCGATTTTTATTGTAATATATTATATTTTTTTCTTGCCCATCATTTATCAGCTTAGCGCAGCTTTTTGCAGATTTTTCAGTTTGGCAATATTTTATTGGTCCCTCAGCGCGAATCAATCAAAAGCAATCGAAAAAATAGACTACATCGAAATTGGCAACAAGCATCAATTGATTTTGGTTTGCAGCTGCCGGCACTTCTTTTTAAACTAAATCATGATAAATGAGTAAAATTTTTAGACCAAAGACCACTTCATTTTCATTGAGGCTGTGAAAAGTGTCGGCAAAAACAAACTGATATGTTCAATATATATTTCTATCCGAGAAAAAGTCCATTGGTCTATAGAGAAATGAAAAATTGATAGCCATTCATGGTGGATTCATGCTTCAAATTTTATGAGCCTTTATATGTTTACACGCAACTGTTTCCCATTATTTTTTTATGCTGCCATCGCTGGAAGGACACTAGTAATAAGTCCAAGCAAAAATGGTAATAGCAATAGTTAGATAGCGATTGAAGAGCTGCTTCCGTTTTACTTTAAGCGACAGGGTAATCCTAGAAAAACTTATTGGCCCACAAAATCGATTAGGTTTCTTTTAAACTTTGCAAAAACCATTAATTTTACTTCCAGCTTTTGGGGTGTTTTTTCTTTTCGGAAGTTCAACTTTAATAGATACGTGGAGATTTGAAATCCATTTAACTTTTACTTTATGGCTACTAAATCTTTAAGTTTTCAATAATATTATTCATACGCTTCATATACCAGGACGAGATTCATTGAACAGAAAAGTCAGGATTTTAATGTAGACTTTAATTAAAAAATCGTACAATGGCTAAATGACAAAAAAAAAAATACTTTACACAATAAAAGTCTAGGTCGGGCCACACTGCGTATGAGTAATAAATGAGAAATACATTTCTTGAACTCTGAAACTCATCTCTAAAATGAAAAGGATATTAAAAAACGAATATTCATAACTTTTTTGAAATATTTTGGAATTTATTATTTGGAAAGTTATAAGTACTTGGATGGTTGAACCTAAAGAAGAGGTTGGCAAATATATATGCTGCAAATAAAACTCGATTTTGTGAAATTCAAGTGTCAGGATTGGTGTTGTTGCTCCGAAGACATGACAAAACGCTGGCAGGCGGGCAATGAGCCAGCGATTTATGGCAGCCCATAAACGGAGCACCCCATGGGGAACGGAAAACGCTGCTTCCTCGGCTTTAAGTGCGCTTTAAAATGAGTGAAAGTGGATGTAAGAGGGGATAAAGTAGAGGGTGCTGGCATCCCGTGGGGATCCTCATCTCCTCTGTCGGCTGAATGGAAATGAGACAAGCTGCAAATCGGAACTGGCAGACAATTCATACTCGTCGAGAGAGCCAACGATGCGAGGCCAAAGAGCCAAGGCGAACCATAAGCGGACCAAAAAGCGAAAGCTATAGCAAAAAGCTGAAAGATGAAAGCTGGAACAGAAGCGAATCCGAAGGCAAAGAGAAATATTTGCATATGTCAAAGTGGATGGCAAATATGGCATGCAATTCGGGGGAGCAGCCTGGCAATGGTTGACTGCATAAACCACACTGCACTGCCACTAACAAGGGCTGTGATGTTCCGAATGCCAAGTCGGCACCGATGGGTGGTTAGCAGCCATAGACCGCCCACCCATTGCCACAGACATTGCCACGGCTCACAGCCCACCATCCTCGTTCCAGCACGCCTATGTTTTTGTTTGCTACCAACACAATGCAACTTCGGCTTGAATGCCGCCAAAAAGGGGCCTGAGGGCGGTCGAGACGCTGAAATATGTGTCAACATATTGTCGGAAGTCGGTGGCACTGGCCCTGTTGTTTTCCCAGCTTCTGATGCAAAAACAAAATGTAGATGGAAACAAGGAAACCATATTTCCTTTAAAGGAATAGAGAATGCATAACAAATAAATAACATTGACTTTGTCTACAGGCGCTTGCTTTTTTGACATAAAAAACTCTTTTGTTTCGTTAGAGAGCCATTTTTAAATGGACATTCATGTTAAGAAGAGCAATTAGCTTTAATTTAACCAACAAGTCAACACAAAAGAGAAAGCAATTAAAATTAAAAAAAATTAAACGCAATTTGGTAAACATAAACTCAAAGGTGCTCAAACACCAACTTCTGCAAACTCCATTCACCATAAAACCATTCAATCGTATCCAGAGTTTCCTTTACCAAAGGATCGCCTAAGTCACAGTATTCGGAAAATAGATCCTTCAACAAGTTCACGGAGGTCCTGTTTAAGTTCCACCATTGGATTAAAACATTAAATACTGATGACCGGGATGAGGCAACCATTTGATCACGCTCCGCTTGGTGAAGTTGATTTTGCAGCTTCTTAACCGTTCGGCGCTGATCCAGGAAACAATTCCACTCGTTCCGAAGATGACCCACATGCCTCTCTAGTTGCTCATCCAAAGTAGAGACTATCGCCACAAGATTTTGGGCCAAATCCTGGCTACTTTCCAAAAGAGGTTCGGCCAGATTGCGAAAGATCGGCTCGGGCAACTTCTGGCCGAGATGTCTGGCACACTCCTCGGAGGATTCAGAGCTACTGGGATTAGCGTTTGAAGCGCGAAGAACTGCTATAATGCGTTTGGCACTCTCCAAAAATGCCATGTGAAAATTCTTGCATTTGGTATTGCAGACTTTCGTTGAAGACCGAAGTAATGAACGTCCTGGGTGTGTAACGTCGGTGTTGGAAGGGCTTCTTCTACCTTCATATGGCTGACATCTGTCCTGTCTTGGCTTTGGAATGTGTGGTCGAGAATTTTTCATTAAATTCCAAAGATCAGTTCCTATCGATTCTTGCCCTCCTTGATTTCGATTTCTTTGAGATTGTTTCTCATTGGTCCCCACTATATAGGTTCTTCTTTCTGGACAAAATCTACCTACCAGGGAAAGGCGAATTTCAGGTGTATGTCCACTGCTTGAAGATGATATAATTTCTTTGACAGATTCTTCTATGGGGGTCGGCTCTTCGTCAAATAATTGATTGTGGTCCCTTAAGGGTCTTTTTTGGTAATTTTGATGTACAGATCTTTGAAGAGACTGTCGAACTCTAGGTTCGTAACATCTGATTGTCTCCTTTACGCCAAAACATCGATTATGGTCTTCTAAAGGTCCTGGTTGGAAGTTTTGAGGTTGAGATCTCTGTAATTCCGGCCGATCTCTAGGTTCCTGGGACCTATCTGTAAGCTGGGTCCAGCCAAAATCATCTCCCTCCAAGCTGCGCCGCTCCGAATCTAGTTTTTGGTCCAATCTTTCTATACTACGGACACGCTGTTTTCTTTCCTTGTCGACTTTGAGCCAGTTTTCCTCTGTCCTCTGCCTGTTTAGTTCACGGATAGGACTGTGATGTCGCAAGTAACAAGGAAATTGGCTACCTCCTTCAAATCGACCCGCAAAAGGTTTATTAAATGAGACCTCCACTTCGTGTCTCCGTTGCTGAATAAATTGTTTAATATTTTTAGGTTTTGGGGCCACATCGCCAGGAGGTATTTCTTTTTCAGGTTCTGATCTGTGTCCAATTTTCATTTCGCTTCCCTCCGATCTCGAAGTAGACTGTTGTAAAGTTGGAGATTCTTGCCCGTTTCTTAGCTTGTTTTCATTTCTATCTACGTCTTCGCCCCGGACTGCCCTATAGTCATTATTTCTAAGCATTTGTCTTAATTGTAGTTTAACCGGTTTTTTTAATCCTTGAGTCACACGCCTATTTCTTTCCATGTCCTTAGAACTGTAACTACGTCTTTCTGGTTTCATTTCCGGACTGCTTGCTGGCTCCTCTTGGCACCATACCTCTTCCGGTTTTCTTTGTACTATTTCTGATTCCAACTCCTTCATTCTGTCGTTACTTCGATTCTTCCAAAAACTCGTATAATGCTGGAAGAGCCGCTGCATTTCTTCTTTTCCTTTCTGACTCTGCTCTCTCATTTTTTGCAAATGTTCAACTTGCATTTGCTCCTGTTTTCTAAATTCTTGCTCAGCTTCAAAAAGCTCCTGCATTGCCTTTTTTTCAAGGTCTTCATTGACTCTTCTTTCAATTTGCGCCTTTCTCTCCATTTGTACTATGACTTCCTGTCGGCTAGCCTCCTCCACGCTTCTTCTTCCCATACTTAGAAGACTTTCTTTTTCTTGTTGATGTTTTTTCACTGATGTTTCCATTTCTTCTTTCTCCAATGTCACCCGCTTCCTTTCTTCAACAGCTTCCGTACGCCTTACTACTTTACGTCGTAACTCCTTTTCGATTTTGTCTTCTACGTTAGATTTAAAAATTTCAAATTCGTTATTTTCTTCATTAGCTTTTTTATTCTCCTTTGATTCTGTCATCTCTCCACCAGGACATAGTCTTTCTTTATGGGTCTTTTTAAGATCTAATGCATCCGGACCTACATTTTCTGATTTTCCATGAAGTCTTGTTCTCATATTATCTTGAGCTCTTTTCCCCAGTAATTTCTCTTCAGCTTTTCTTTTATCTTCTAATGCGTTAATATATTCTTCATCTTTTTCAATTCTTTCTTGATGTCCTTTTTCCGTCTTATGTTCTATTTTCTCAACTTTTCTTTTGAAAATGGCGTCCTCTGTTCGTTCTCCATCTTTTTTTTGTAACCTCTCATAATCATAATTTTCTTTACCTTCTTCTTCGATTTCCCAAGGTGATTTTTCTTCAATACTTCTTTTAGGTTCTTTTTCCTTATTCTTCTCCCTTTCTCTCTTCTCTTCATTTTTTCTTTCCATTTCTTCCCATTTTCTTCCTATTTCCACGAGTAAAGAGAGCGGTATGGAAGATCCTTGAGGGATAATTTCCTGTTGTTTCTTTTCATCATCGTCCAGGACCTCTTGATTTTCCTTTTGACTTTTTCGGTCTCCAAAAGGCTTCTCTGTCTGTCTTTTTATGTCGGGGCTTTTTTGCTTGTTTTTTTCTTCAATATTAGTATTTTCGCCCTGCGTCTCTAGGTTTTTCTTTTTACTTCCTCTTTCCTTAATAACTCCACTATGTCTTTCTCGTTCAATGATGGAAATAGGACTCTTTTGAATATTATTTTCATCAACCATTGTATTATCTCCCTGGTTCTCTTGATTTTTTACTTTCTTCTTACTATCTCTTTCTCCACCTTCTTTATTATGATCTTTTTCTTTTGGTGATGGTCGTGATGGAAATTCCTGTTGCTTCTTTTCATCAATTTCTTTATTATTTTCCAGGACGTCTTGATTTCCCTTTTCAGCTTTCTTTTCTTCAATGATCTTCTCCAGAGATTTTTCTGGTTCTTTTGAGAAAGAAGGACTTTCTTGTTCTTTTGTATTTAAAGAATTTATTAAAAGAACTTGACTTTTCTCAATATTTTCCTCTACACATTCTTCTATTTCACCATTTTTCTCCTTTATTACCTTATTCTCTTTTGATCTTAGGCTTTCCCTTAAATTTTCCAGGCGTTCAGCTACTTTCTTTTCAAGTTCCTCTTTTTCTTTCCTTTCTTGCTCAAGTTTCTGCAATAATTGTTGTTCCATTAGTTCTGCTTTTTTTAGAGCAAGCTCCAATTCTTCTTTCTTCTTGGATTGTTCATCGCTTTTTTGTAAGTCCTGTTCTTCCAGAAATCCTTGAATATTTTCAAGTTCTGCCACTTGATCCATTTGTAAGAGCTTCGAGTCACGGGCTGTTGGATTAGCTTGTTCCGCACTGCGTTTAAGTTCCAATTCTTGTTGCAGAACTCTCTTTTGGACCTGATCGTCTCTAGATTGCCGGATGAGCTTTACCACCTCTATCATTTGCTCCTTTTGGAGTTGTCGAATCCTTTTTATGTTCTTAACAGTAGAAGTGCCTTGGTCGCACTCGAGTCTATTATCCCGCAGACTTTCCCTGCTTTTCTTCTTTCTATCAGGGTCTGGTTGCTCTTTAAGATGTTCTGCTTGTTTAGTTTGACGAGTTTCTTTGATGTTTACATTAGATCCTTGTGAGATACTTTTAGAAGAAGCTTCTTCCAGTGTTTGAGGATGTTGCTCCGGGGTATGGAGTTTGGACTGGCTTGGAATGTGGACTACGTTCTCTCTACACGATGGACACAACACCATCCAGGATATAACTTTTTCAGCACTCTGTAGTTCCCCGCTTTCCATTCGCTTTTTAGGTGTCATGATCGTCACAAATTCCTCTTTGGGATTTAGGAGCCTGGCCCGCTCCTGGCGATCTATTCTTTCCATTTCACGGCGTTTCCGATGCATTTGCTTCCATTCCACCTGATCCCGCTGGCGTCGTTCTCTGGTACGTTCGTCCTGCTCGCGCTGCTCCTCCCGCTTCTTCCTTATCATGTACCGCTCGTGTTCAATCCGAGCCTGGACCTTTTCTTGCAACCTACGTCGCTCCTGTTGCCACACCTGTTGTCCTGTCAACAGCTGCTCTCGATCCAGCCGGATCTGCTCGGCCAACTGGGCACGTTCTTGTTCACGTTGCTTGGCCCGAAACTCCCGGTCCAGTCGCTCCTTTTCCTTTCGGAGGTTGATTTCCAGCATTCTAAGTTCGCGATCCTGTCGCTGGCGAGCGGAAGTTCCTTCAGCAGGCGACACTCTAGGCTTTGAGGGTTGACTCTTGTTAATAGGTTTCGTCGGCGGCATCGTCTTGTCCTTGAATCTAACCTCATTCGCTCCTTTCACCCTGAGCATCCCGGAACACTTTTCAGTTCCGGCTGGTAAGCGGACTCCCTCGGACTTCGTCGTTGAAGCCGAGTCAATCAACTCACCGTGCTTGTAGAGCACCTCCAACTGGTCCAGCTGATGAAGCTTTTCCCTCCACTGATATTGTTGTGTATTATCGTTGTTATTTTCCCTGGAGACCATCGGTTGAAGTAGCTGTGGCTGACCTAAGCCTTCTGGGGTGAGAAGTTCGCTAAGATTACGAACGCAATTGGTAATGTCGGTAAAAGGCAACGATAACTGGCCAGTCTCCTGCAACTGGCGCAGCATCAACTCCATGAGGCAGTCCTTTTCTTGAGCCTCCTTTTTGGCTGCACGGCATAGAATTCCAAGCCAGGTAACACAGAGACCAAGATCTTTCTGACTCGTCTTTCCAAGGGTCAGGGTGCGGATGATATCCAATTTCTTGCGGCAACTACGATCCAGTCGATCCTCCATTGGAAGGTTTTTATTTTTGAGGTTACCACTCTCACCACTAAAATCCATTAAAGCCTACCCGTTTGCTTGCAGGTCTAGGTAGACTTAATGACAGGCTTTAAAATAAAAGTTGACTAGATGTTCACCTTTTCAAAGAAATTTTAGAATATTTTTATTGAGAATATAATCTTACAGTTTGTTTTAAAACTTAGCATTTACATGAATAGCAAGGACACCATCCTGCTCAGACCGATTGATGATAACTCTGGCCATTCCATTAGATTCTACGACTACTGTCTTGCCAGTGCAAGAAGATCCTTTCTTTGCGCCAGAGATAACATCACAATAGGATCCTTTAGGAAGTCCCGTCTGCAAAGATTGGTTCAGGTCGGAGTTGTCGCTATTGAATGCCACAAATCCCTTGTTTCCCCGACTGAAGGCAATCTGGTTGCTGCCGTTATCCCACCAGTTCTGAACTGGATCCAATCCAGCGGCATTTCGGAAAGCCACCATGTTATAGATCTGGCGCCAGCGATGTTCGCAAATCCAACCGCCCCCGCACGAATCGTCGGTATTAAAAGTGGGACTGGCAATGTTCTGACCATCGATGGTGGGTGGTCCCTGATCCGTGTTTTCAAAGCCAAAGGAAGACATGATGCGTGGAGTGCCAAAAGGGTGGGCCAGCATGAAGGCATTTGCCATCTTATACTGCTTTGATGCCTTATAGGTAAGCACATCGTCACCACCTGGTCCATGGCCGCGTTGGTTATCGTGGTTGTCTACAAACACCAGGGAGCAGTTCGAGGGAGCAAAAGCCCATTCAGTCCCCCAGTTGGTCAACCACCTGAGCTGGTCTTTGCCACGAAAGACCTTGCCAATGGAATTGGAGTGCCGGAACTCAGTGACCAACCCCAGGCTAGTGTATTCGAACTTGCTGATAGCCTCACCGCCCATATCAATCACCTCCTGGATAATGAAGGCCTTAGAGCCCTGAACAAAGCCGTGTGCAGTATTGAGATTCTTAAGGCGACTGTAGATCAACCCCAGGTCGGCGGGCCACATATGCTTGGCGGCATCCACCCGAAATCCTGCCACACCAAGGTCAATCAAATGGTTCAGAAACAGCACAATCTTGTCCCTGACATATGAGCTTCCTTGGTTCAAATCGTGCAAGCCAACCAGCTCGCAGTTTCGCACCTGGGCGGCATCGTTGTAATTGTTGATGGCACAGGTATGATGAAAGTCCGGATTTGAATAAGGAACTGCAGGATAGCTTTTGATACTGGGATTGGCAACACTTCCTCCAGTGCCGACAGTCCCACCATCGGCTGCCATGTGATTAAAGACTACATCCACGTAGATGCGAACTCCCACCTTATTACACCGGCGGACCATCCTAGCAAATTGCTCTTCATTTCCAGAACGAGTCATCAACTGGTAGGATATGGGTTGGTATCTCTCCCACCAGGGTCGACCTTCTTTCACAGCATTTTCATTAACCGGCGAAACCTATTAACAAAAGTGATTTGAAGTCATTCTTATTCAGGTGCCATCTCTAGTCTTACCTGGACACCTGCGTAGCCCTTCGGTCCCAGAAAGTTTTCACACTCTGTGCCAATGTCATCCCATTTCCATTCAAAGAGATGAACTATGCCACTGCGGCCTGCCACATAATTTGGGTTGAATTGGGCCTTGGCCAGCACCAAAAGGGTAAGACACACAAAACTCTTGGCCAAAAGCATTCTGATGCCAAGCCAACTATAATAGAATTTTATTTAAAGGCTATGCTTAAAGTTTCGATTAGTTTTTGCCAGTAATTTTGCATTATTTTTAAATTGTTAAACATAACCAAACATGTTTATTTTTCTTGAAATTTTTAATTAACACCGTTCGTGACAATCAAAATTTTATATTAATAGATATCTTGTAAAAAAAATAACATTTTGTGGATATATGAAGTTTATTATCTGCAAACAAATACTTGAATTGAAAAAAAACACGACGGAAATGTGACGTGATAAGAGCTTGAAAAACAATTATTAAATTCTGCGAATAATTTCATTCCAGGCTTATTAACTTCCACTGAGAATTATCTCAATATATACTACACTTCCCTGGTTGAACAACATGACATTCTGGGAATCCGGAAACTCAAAATGTGAAATGCCAAATCAAAGTTCATAGACAAAACTAGTAGAATCCCAGAAATGTCAACCCAATTTTAGTGCTTCCATAGTCAACAATTAATTGAATAAAATGCGACTGGGGGAATTCTAATAATAACAAGTAAATCACATTCCCTGCCCAAACTTTGGAAACTGCTAAAGAGGTTAATGGACCAAGCGGTTTAATTGCTTTTAAATCTGAAACCAAACTCTGTCAAACTAATTAAAGCTCTGCGGAGGGACGATGGTCTCGAAATAAATTCTGGAAGCTCAAGTAGCTGCCGGGCTGTCATGGCAATAAGCCAAAGGACCAAAACCAGAGGACACGACTCCATTAAAAACTCCTCGGCATCTTGGCCAGCAGACTGACATACATAAGTAAGCGGAAAGCAGGCTCGAAAACCTCCAAACGAATTGTATTTTAATTGTGCGGCATAAAATTGTTAAAATACGAGAGACCCTGACCTTAAGCGTGACGCGGATTCGTACCGGAATCGAGTTTGTGGGTGGCCCAGGACGAAAGAAGGACCATTAATTGCCAAGGTGGGAGGAAAGCCGGCAATAAAATGAATTCATTAAGGCTGGAAATCGCTGGGACGTTATCGTTGTGAGTCTTCTTTGTTTGGCCCAGTAATATAAGTATCTCATAATGTTGTCCAATTAACAGCTCACCTTTGCCAAAATTAAACTGAGTCTCGTAAATGGCTTTAATTTTTGAACTGTAATTTCACGTTATTTTTCTCTCAATTCCAGCCACTCAATGGCAGTCAACTGTCAACTAGTTTTTCAAACAATTTTTAAGTACTTGGTAAGTGGTCAAAACTTGTGAAAGCTGTTATACAAATTTTGCACAATTGAAAAAAGAGGGGCTATTAAAATCACAGACTATAGTATTTAAAACCACTATCAGTGAGTTGTTCATCGGAAAAATAAAATAAAACTGCAAGTATTTTTATGTAACCACTTGTGCAATCATTTTTTGTTCAATCACCAATAAAAAAAAGGCACCAATATTTCAAAACATACACTGAGCCTTTTCTAATTTTTTTCCTTTTAATTCTTACTTGTGTGGATAACGAACCTACCAGATCTATTTTTTTACAAATAATAAAATTCTATATTCTCAGCCACGCCTTTGATATTTTCTTGAATTTTCCAACACCCTTGATAATAGAGGGATGAATATCGATCAGTTCCCGCTCAATGTATCGGTGTTTAAATTCAAAAATAAATACATCAGGAAAACGTATTTATATTAAGCCTAGAAACTAACAAAGTTGCTTTAAGTTACTGCCAAATGTATAATTAAATTTTTAATTGAAAGTCAAAGACTGCAAATAAGGCACTCAGATGCTTTTAACAGGAAACTTTGACATTTTGTCTTGCGAGAATAATCTCTCAATGATTTAAGGATACCTAACTTTATTATCCTGTTAGGCTTATATTATTGTTTACCTCGAATGCAATCATGACCCTTAATGTGCCATGAAGGCAGAATTTATACGCCCGATAAGTGTGTCATGCTCAATATTTGCAGAGGCTCATGGCCTCCCAAAATGGAGGCGATCAAGGAGCATTTGGTGAATGCTGGATATCGCATGGCGTCCTGTCGCCAAGCAAACATAAATTAAGTTTTGGGAAATCTACGTAATTTACGCATACATATTTGAGCTCAGGCGATGTGGGTGTGCTGCTAGCTGCCAAAAGTTGTTTATTTTTCGGCTAATGTAATTTTTGGTAAATAATCATCTAATTTGTTTACCCTCTACCCGAGTTTCCTGGCGCGTATGCATTTAATTTATGGCTGGAGCTTGGCTGGCAAATGCGGGAAATAGATTCCCTAATATGCCAAAAACAACATTGCGCAGAATTTATTCTGGGTGTAATACCCTGTGAACATTTGAGAATAAAACACAGGAAAAACTCAAAGGATTAAATGCCAAGCTGGTGTCAGGCCCTAACAAATTTCACTCGCAGATGCCTTTTAAAGTGTTAGCCCTTTTTGAATCGTTAATGGGGAGTATGGGTTTAAAGCCTTTATGAACTTTCCTGGGTCATGGCATACAGTGATCTCATCTCCAACTCCTTGCGGCAATGTGACAGACTAACTCCGGCCGACACATGATGAAGGTTGCTCCCGCCTTTGAATCCGAGTCCGCTGACCACAAACGAGGCACACCCACAAGTGCAACTTCAGTTGAGATTTATGGGACCCATTGGATGCTGGGTACCGGGTGGCTGAAACTGAGACCTTTTTCCAGTTAGACACAAGTGGGAGAAAAGCTCATCACGCACTTGGCCCAAACGTGCAACTTGGCCCCGGATGACATGTTGATGCCGCATACTTTCGCTGGAAAGTTCGCTTTTTGGCCTCGGGTACGTGTTCCATCTGACGCACTACACGCTCTATATCTGGTTGAAATTAAGGTTGACATTCCCCAGTTAGCAATTGAAGCTAAAATCCTCGAGTCTGCCAAGGGCCGGGAATAAGATGCTTAAACACTTTTTAGCAGCAACCGGCTCATAGATCATGCAAATCATCACGCAAATAAAATTCTCGTAATGCTAAAAGCGACACAAACAATTTAATAAAATCCAGCTTAAAGGAAATTTACATGCTTCACAGCGCTGCAAGATATTTTCACCCTCCCGAGGAGGAGGTCCCGTCACAGAATGTCTTCTTTGTCTGGCTTTGAGTTCATAGTGAAAGTTTTTTTGCATGCCATACACGACTTTTGGCATCATTTTTGTGTCCCCAATTTTTTTTTTCTTTTTTTTTGTTTGTTTGGTCGGTACTTTTTTGTTTTTAGCCGTCTGTGACTTTGATGCCATGTTGGCGTTTAACTTTCGAGCCATGTTTGTTTGCCGGCATAGTTTCGTTAACCTTGTCCTTTCAGCTGCCAGCTCTTCAAATCGAATTTGTTTTTACAATGGCTTTGCTCTAAATAAATGGTAATAAGCTCTCAAGTCTTTGACCGTTTCTGACCATCGAACTTCCCAGCACACAAATAAATTATGCAAATGCTTTGGGCCGGCTATGAACTTAAGTGAGATTAAGTTTTAAAGTGGTTGAAGTAATCAGAAGACCCAAAACTAGGTTTAAATATATAATTAAAAGTAAATCCCTAGAGCAGTCTATTTTAGCATATTTGTAGTTTATATACTCTGAATTACAGAGTAATAATATTTATTGTGTTACGGCATATTAAATTAATTTCAAAGGTTGTTTGTTCCGTAAGGTACAAATGTCTTAAAGCCGAACTCATTATTCAAATGGGAATCAAACGTGCCTCTACCATATGCAAATAGCCTGAGTCTGGCGAATAACAATGAAATCTTATTAAAGGCCATGCCAATCTGCATTCGAAGAGCTCAGCTCGTCTCGGCTCAGACCCCTGTGGAAATGCCAACTTTCTTGGCCCAGAATTTAAATCATACAATAAAGAAATATTACACCTGCGGCGAAAATTTCATTTTGCGGCTCAACTTCGTGTCGGAATCAAAAAGGGAGAAAGTGGAAAAGCAATCACAGGAGTCGGGTGGAAAAGTTCAACTAAAATATGATAAAAATTTGAATACATTTTTGTGCGATTATAAGTGACCAAAATTGAGCTGTATAAATGCAAATATGCGTGTAATCAGCTTATTTACGCATGTTTATTATATCAGGGGCCTGTTTGCTCCGACAATGTTATTCAATTTGTAAATTATATTTTTCAGCCGTAAACAAGACTTACCAACTGCTCGGGTATGGTCGAGAAAAGTTTGTGAGAAAACTTAGCGCTCCCTTCCGTCAAATTCATCAGCCTGCCCTTCTGCATTGGAGTGAGAAATATGAAATTAAGCAAAAAGTTGACTGCTCATGGCTCACGGCTTAATTTACATAAATTTGCACAAGTTTATTTTTACTGAGAAAGTGTGCCACCCTCGCATACAGTCGCATCTTTATATTTTTTTTACCCAACTAGACCTTAACCCTTTAGAAAAAGCCCGCCTCCGAGAGTCATTCCTCATTTTTTTAAGCAAGCTATTCTCTTTGCAGTCCCACATGGCGTATGCGCAATGTCTTTGTTCCCTTCACCAAGTCGCTTTATTTTTATTTTTTGGTTTATTTCTTTTTAGTGATTTTTTCTACCCTTTTTCCCGCTGTGGGCAAGTTATTTTCCGTAAAAATATATAACTTTTCCTTGCCGCTCATTTTCCTTTTCGCTTTTTTTTTACTTTTTTCTCAAGTGGTTTGTTTGTTTATGGAATCATGTTTGTATATATTACTCACACTGGCATATAAATCTGTTTTCCGTCTACCGCTGCGATTTCTCAGTAAATACAACAAATCCGCATTTCAGTGACAATGCCAGAAGTGCAGATTCCCCAACAAAGACAAAAAGAATAAAAATAATTTTTCCAAGTACATTTATTTTCAGGATTTTCTGAAAAATCACAATTTTCTGTTTTAAGATTATGTAGCCTTCATTTCACTGCGCTGAACTTGGAGCATCGAACCGGCTGATTTGGTGCATTGCATGATAATCCAACCCATTATAACGCACAGTTAGCCAATAGTATAGAATGTCTCCGACTTTCAAACAAAACTTCGCTATTTTCATAAACCCATCGACCATGTGTTGGAAGGATAATGTCCGTGGCCCAGGTTTGATCTCTCAGATCAACCATTGGCTTGTTGAGTTTTCCGTGGAAAGCGAAAAGTGTTATTCCCTTCTCATCTGGTATGGAGACTTTAAAGCCTTGGGGTGAAAGCGCAGACACCTCCGCGGCTGGAACTTTGTAGCTCGACATTCTAACTATTACTGAAACTTATCTCTTTAATTGGAAAAAGCTAACCTTATCACGATAAGATACAAATAAGACAGAAAGACCATACCTTGTTCTATCTTATCTTGGCACTTTTTTACTTTCCTCTCTGATTAAATATTTTCGATGTATTAGTCATTGAATAATTGTAATAAGATTTGATAGATGTTAAATTTTTTGTCTGGGGTTTTCGTTAATTTTAAATACTGCCCAACAAACTCATAACTTCACACCCGAATGCACAATAAAGACCAAGCTAAAGAATGGAACTTCTTAATTGGAAAATACTGTCAGGACATTAGGTTGCTGCTGACAACACCCTGCATCCCTGGCCACAGCAGACCAGCCATCGCCACACTTGACTGCTGATTAATTAAGTAAAGCAAATCAAGCAAACAGCGAGAGACGAGGCGCAAAGATTTGGGTCACGACGAGAAACCGGATCTGTTAATTAATTTTGCTTAGTGCATGTGGCGGCTTCAACTTGTCTAATGGCAGATGACTCGGTCTGGCTTTAAACCGCACAAATTGAAAAAGAATGGCCAGAAAGAGCAAACATTGAACAATCCCCCCATTGAAGGCGGAACAATGGCAGTAAAGGCCACATCCAACCGCCACCTAAGCCCCACTCCATGGGTTCTCTACGGGTTTTTTTTTTTCTTCTTGTGTTCAGGCTTTTTGCAGCTTATGCCCATCTGATAGCTATGATCTTCATTATGGCCATTCCTACTGTTGTTTTTATTGGTATCTGTGGCGCCACTCAAATGTTGCGTATACGCTCCGTATGCTGTACGGGGGGGAAACAAAGACCAGGCATTTGTATAAAACATATAAAAAAAAATGTTTGAAGTGGGTGCCTACATGGGCGTGGCCAAGACTAAGGCTAAGGATTTTATTGGGAATCCCTCTATTGTGGTATCTACGTCCCTGTCGGGAAGAACCAAAAACAAAAACTACATTTGCCGGGCGTACACTATAAATAAGCGCCACATGCTCAACATTTTTATGCTGTTTTATTGCATTGCGCTAAAAGGCAAACTCGGAATTGAACCGAATCCCTAACCCCGAATCCGAAACCCCAAGCCCGCACATGACCGTATACCGTATATCCGCACATATAGGGCTTGTCTGGCGAGGATGTTTCTGCTGCCAGAACCTTATTATGTGCCACATTTAACGCCCTCCGATAGCCGAAACAGTGCTGCCAACAATGGATTACGGAAATCAGCTGAATGGGCCACTAAAAACAATGGCTTTAAATAATTGAAATTCGTCGAAGGGAGCTATCGTAAAATCTAATAAATGCTTTATTTTTATTCATTGATTTAAGCCCGTAAAAATTAATTAGCATTAAAATGGCTACCATTTATCATTTTTAATCATTTGTTTTGATTCCCTTTTTCATTTTATTTGAGAACAAATCTACCATCAGTCATAAATTTTAATGGCTAATTGGTTTTACAATTTATCTTTAGTCAACAGCGTAAAAATTAGTCCCCTAGATAAAATTAAATTGTTTTTTTTAATCAATGATGGAATTCAATGCTATTGTCTTGCCATAAAGCCGCTGTGTTAGCAACACTATGGCCAATAACCCCCCGCCAAGACATCATCCGGCAAAAGCTGAGCCAGCAAGTCCTGTTTGCTATTTTCCACTCTTCATTTCGAGCTAACTCCGCTGGCTTTTTCACTGAAAAATGCAATAAAATTAAAGTTGTTTTGTGCGGCAACCTAAGCCTTTCCTTCACCATTCCCTTTGCCTGGGAATGGTACCTGTGGTTAGTGTTTTAGCCAGGCACTTCACCGCCCCTCACCCTCTCAGTTGGCGGGTCATTCTGCAAATCGATGAGCAGTCGTAAAATGTTCCCCAAATTTATTGCATACTTTTGTGCGTGCAAATTGCGTGAGGAGAGCTCCGCCATCGCACATGTGTGTTGGTGTTTCTCAGTGTGTGTGTGTGTGTCCTGGAACTTTTACATGTTTTTGATTGGCTTTCGGGCAGCTTAAAGTTTAATAACAAAAGGCGTAAATTTTATGAGGGAAATCATTAAATCGTTTAAGAGTGTGTGTGCGCGTGATTTAGTTCCGCAGTAAATTCCAAATTTAGTAATTTACTACAAAAACAATTGAAACAATTGAAGGTAAATTGAATTTAGGCCTGCCGACTTTAAATTGTATTATTATTTAAATTGTCTTTAATTAACTTTGTTAGCGAATTGTTCATAATAATGTAATAACATTGCTTTTAAATCTGAAACCAGATTAAATCTGGCTTTTATTATATCAGAGACATTCGTTAAAAGTCACTGCCCCGTTCCCAATTAAATACACTCGACTGCATCGACTGCCAGGTAGCCCAGGTAGCACATCAAACTGAATGGCCTCAGTCGTGGGCCACACTGCGAACAGTTAGAATGCCAGACAACAATGGCCAATGAAGAGGCCACTTGAAGCCTGGCCAAATGGCCAAGTTGGTAAACTGCAATGTAAGCAGCTTTTCATCGCCATCCCGAGGCAAGTTGAAGAAGGGGCCAAGCTCTTGATGCCACACTGTAAGTCAATCGAGGCATAAAAAATGTCCACTACCTGAACTCAAGGCGTCTTCATTCTTTCTGTGGAGAAGAACAAGGATTTCCGACAAGGATTTGTCAGACCAACTAGGTTTATTTACGAAATGGATGTCGTTTAAGTGCATAGCTTCACATAAAAGTCGGAGGAAATAGGAAGTTCTTGCATGCAAATCGAATGGATGTTTTGTTAGCACAAGACTTTTTTGGCCAGAGGCAACTAAATTGGGGGCTATATAATACTGGGTAATATAAAGGGCCTTGTAGACAAGTTACGGATATAAAATTCCACAAAAGTATTAAAACAAAAAGCCATTTTGTAAACCGTAACTGAAACATTGATGTTCCATTCAAAGTGCCGGCATAGAAATCCGCTGTTGAGCTTTTTTTTTCTTTCAAACAATCACTATCAGCTTTGAAAGCAGTCAGTACGTGCTGCTATCCGGCGGATTGAGAACCGTAAAGAGGGGGAGAAGCGTGAAAACAATAGCTGGTCTATCTGCTAGCAGCCCACGCAATCACTAATTGCGAGATTTGTTGCCTGTCGCACAAAAATCGGCTGAGATCTCTTTTGAATTTACCATGGCCAAAAATTGTTCGCGGAACCATGGGTAAATGCAAATATTTACCATTTTCTGTTGTCGGCGCGAAAGGAGCCCGCGGCTTCGTTCGTTCCCCAGTGATTGGAATCCGCGGCGTTCAGGACAGGAATGCCATGCTGACTCGGAAATAACGCAGTTCGCATACGCCATTGAATTTTAAATGAAGATCCCGGGCCCTACTCGCTGAGACAATGACATGTTTATAAAACTGCAAGGGGAGTGGACACTCGAAAAAAAATACAGTCTTGTTTTTTCAATAAATACATGTTTAAGTAAAAGTTGTAGCTTTTCCTTTTAAAGTATTTCATTCAAACATGGCAATTAAGACAAGATGTTTGTCATTACACAACTATTGATTGTTCCTTTGTCTCTTTGAAATAAATCTTACCAAATATTTAAGAGGATTAGAGCTTCAATCAATTGAAAAAGGCTTATTTTTTATCGAATCTTAAATTCTTATAATCTTAGTAATATTTTCTACTGTGCACTAAGAAAGCCAAGTCAAACAATCCAGGAACAAGATGGGGAGCCCTTGCCAAGGCTGAAAGGCACTTCTTGGCTTGAACCACGCCCCCTTTTCGGCGGCATAATTGGTGACGTGTGCACGTCGTTGTCATGGTCGTTGGCGCCGCCTGCACATCCTCAGCTTATAAAATTTTCACCGGAATGCTGCTACCACATGACGTGCTTCTCCTCCGCCTCTTTTTTTTCCCACCATGGCTGCATCTAATAAAGCGTTATGGCAAAGATATTCCGCCAAACTGGCTACCAAAATTAGCCGTGCTCGAAAACATACAATTTTTACCACGAAAAAGGTGCAAAAAAACTTGCACATAATCACAGAATTTATTAAAAAATTTATCCAAAAAGACAAAACCAAATATTTTGATACTCTAAAAAATGTGGAAAATAAATCTGCTTTTTTTCAGAGAAAATATATCATCAGCTGCGAGTAAACATAAATAAAAGCTGGTTTTTATGAAGTTTGTACAATATTCAACTGTAAAATAAATATTTGTTCGTTGCCTTTTTGATAACATTTGAAAACTAACAATATTTGTTTAATAGTTTGATCCTTGAACAAAGTCAAATTGTTTGGCTTGATGGCTAAAAGCCTATGATTTAGTGGGAAAACTAAGCTCCAATTAATGAAAACCAATTAGTTAATATTGGGAGGCTTTTCATTTTTCAGTTTCAGTGGGATTTTAGCTATTTTTTCAAGACTATGTCAAACAAAAGTTTCTAAAAATAAGAAACTAAAAGATGTTTCCAGGTGAAAATTAAACAAAAGAAAAAGTAACCAGCAGTATAGTCCCAATTAAACTTCTAAAATATATATATAAAGAATCTCTTCGAGCTTGAAGAGATAGTTCAAACTGGCAACTTGTTCATAGAGCATAATCATACAGCTTATGCAAATGAAAGTAAAAACATTGTTCCCGTGAAAGTTTCCATCCCGGCTTCACCGCACACGATAGAAGCTGCTTCAGTTTGACTTTTGCATACAGAATCATTGGCTGGCAATGATGGTCTGCCCGCCTCTACCCCGCATCACACACATTGTTCTATACTACATATTTATGAAAAATTTAAGTTTTCGTGAAAAATGACGGAAACGGATGTCGGAATGGGAGTCGGGTGGATGCCGACTCCAAGGTAAGAAAATGGTGCAGCCTCGCAAAAAGTTTTTTGTCTGATCGCTTTGTAATTTTCATGAGGAGCAGCTGCAAGTTTGTTTCAGCACTCGATGCAAATGCGTGGGCGTTGAAAGTTAGCCGGGGAGGCGGGGATACGCTAATAGGAGGGGAAGGCAAACGTTGCAAGCATGACTGTG